TATATATATATATATATATATATACACATATACACACAATACAATCAAAAAATAAAATAAAATGAAATGAAAGGTGGCAGAAGAACTAGTCTTATGAAAACTGCCCCTTTTTACTTAATTCTAAAGTAAATCAAAATATTTTTACAAAATTTAAATTAAAATATAATTCACAAATATAACAACAATCTAGCTAAGTTAAAAACATAAAAATTCAAACATCTAAATCAAATCAGACAACAACTTAGGTAGATTTATATTAACGATTTCCATATTCTTTCAAGAAACTCATCTTTATCAGTCTCTTAAATCTATACAGTGATCTGGATTCCAGATGCACTGTACAAAGTAAAACATATCGTAATTTCAAACACAGATTTATTCTGTTTTTTCATGTTCTGTGTGTTTCTAGGCTTTGAGTATTTATCAGAACAGGAAGCTAATTACTGTTTTCAACGGGGAACAGGAAGGTACTGATGACTTTGATACAGTTCTTCTTAAAGCCCTTGTTAGAGGTAAGGAAAGTTAATTTGAAAAAGAGAAATGTGAACTGGGCTGCTAATCTCAAACTATTTACAATGTCACATTTACTGTATAAGAATCATGTCTAGTAGAGAAAATTTGCTCTGCCCATTAAAAATCCCCCTGAGTTGGTTATTTTTGTGTTTTGTATGCTGCTTTAATGTTTCTCTCTCTTATCTCTCTCTCTCTCTTTGTGTTTGTGCATGCGTGTGTGTGTTAAGCTGGTAAGCGTGGGTCCAGTAAAGCCAGTGAGTACTTTGATGAACTGAACCTGGCTGTGGCCTGGAACCGGGTGGACATTGCTAAATCTGAACTCTTCAATGGAGACATACAGTGGAAAGTATGCCTTTTTGTTGTTGAAAATTCACATTTGAAGTGATCAGACATGTTTTCACATTTTCATAACTGATCAAATGATGGGTTAGCCCTAACAGATTGTATAAAAGACTAATGTTGAGGGTCTGGGTAATTATGTAGATCTGTAAAGGCTGGTTCACAATTTTCAACAGTTGCACAAGTGTAAAAAACATACTGTTTTGTATGTTTGTATGTGTACGGGGAGGGGCTGGAACCTGAGGAGCAAGAAGATAGGTTAATATAGTATTTGAAGGAGTGATAGTGATATTGCTTCTCTTTCTTACAAAAAAGTTTGTGGTTTGTTGAGGAGACAGGCGATTGAGTCGTTCCAGTGCATGGAAGGAAGACATCCAGGAAGAGTTCCAGGTTGGAGACAGGCAGGTGGTAGGAAGGCGAGGAGGCAGCTGAAGACGCACAAGAGAGTAGAGTTGCATATGGGCCCAAAAAAACCGACCCCAGCCCGTAGCCATCTATTCCAAACTTCACCCGACACGACAAATTAACTGTAATTACAGATCCAAATCCAACACCCCCCCCCCCCCCCCCCCCCCCCCCCCAATATTTTAATGAAGCTTTGACTACTAGAGTTATTAACAGTTGGCGGACGCATGCGGCTGAGTAAAGGGGGTAGAAGATCGAAGCTGAGGGGGTGTTTGTCCTTTCATGGCCGTCAAAGCGCATTAAATCCCTGCTTATGCCTGCATTCTGCATTATTCAGACACGGACCCTGCTCTGATATGTCTGCTTTGGGATCTCACCTGTTTGGGTCGTTGGCCGCGTTCGTCCCGCTAACTGCAGCAGCTGAACGTCCATTTGGGCAATGGATTGCTTCCTGGCAGTACCGGTAGCCCCATCTGTGTAGGAGTCGCACTGTCTGCAGCCCTGTTCCAAGATGGCCGACCAATTAACAACAGCTGACGGCCATCCACCTAATGAGGAATTCCTCTACTTAAGGCTGCAGCCAAGTGTGACCCGACGCTGGAGCATTGAGCCTTATTTGGTATTTATGCCTTCAGCCTGAAACCTGTAAGTGAGTGTTTAGACTTACCTTGTTCTTTATGCTTGCAGTATCCTGTCTGCTCGAATCCTGTTCCTGTTGCCTTGCCTGTTGTCCGCCTGCCAGACCTGCCTTGCCCGTTTCCCATCTGCCAGACCTGTCGAGTCTCTGTCCATCCACCTCCTGCCAGACCTGCCTTGTCCATCCATCCTGTTCCTTCTCTCTGGAGCTCTTTGTGGATTCCTCTCTACACCGACACACGGCGTCTCCACCTGTAAGACAAGCAAACAAATTACCTTCGACAAACCATCGCCCTAAACTGGACCTACTGACCCTGTTCTCCTCCTTAGGCACTCCAGAGAACTAGCATGTAATATTTCCACTGTATATAATAAACACTGTTACCTTTTCTACGTCTAAGTCTGCTTCATTCTGGTTTCGTACTAAACTGGGTTCCGCCAGTCATTACAGAAATGCTCCAGCCACAACCGACCCAGAACGAGACCATAGGCAAGCAAAATCCGTCCACCTCCCAGATGAAGTGCATAACTAAGCTCGAGGAAATGCTGCAGCGAGTCCTAACCCAACAAGAAGCGACACAAGAAAACTTAAGACAATTAGGAGGTATGGTTTTTACATTACATCAAAAACTTTTACCTTCTCCACCTGCAGCTTCTGCCGCACCGCCTGTAGTTTTCACCCCCGACACGACTCCTGGATCCAGTTCCCCGAACCTACAGGTAATCACAAAACCTTCTGAGCTCTTTTCAGGAGATCCCAACCTGTGTGGAGGGTTTCTGTTGCAGTGCAAACTTGCATTCAAAGGGGCCTCTCAGCTTTACATGTCTAATACTGCTAAAATCACTTATTTTACCAGTCAACTAAAGGGTGACGCGCGTCTTTGGGCCAATTCCTATTTACAATTACATGACCCAGATCTTGTGTTTTTTGATACCTTCTCGAAAAAGTTTCGAAGAATCTACGACCAACCTCTGCAAAAATCCAACGCCGTAAAGCGGCTACTCGGACTTCGTCAGGGCAGCCGTCCTGTCGCCAAGTTTGCTCTGGAGTTTCGCATCCTCGCGGCCCAAATCGGATGGAACGACCTCGCACTTAAAGGTACCTTTTTACAATCTCTGTTCGATCCCATTAAAGATCAGATTGCTGTACAAGATGAACCAGAAGGTTTTGACGAGTTAATCGATCTGGCGGTGGCTATTGACGAGCGTTTTCGGGAGCGGGGAAGGGAGAAGGATTACAACGCCCACTGTCGCTCCACTTCTGGGTTCGCAACATCATCAGGTGAGCCCTGCACCTAAAGAAACACGCCCGAGAACTACAAATCCCAGGAAGGCAACTCTTCTGGTCCACCTCCTTACCCTGAAACACCGGCCAGATGTTTCCCCTCATTTCATGAAACTGAACCTATGCAAATAAAACAAACCTACTTATCACCTGAAGAGAAACAAAGACGCCGGGATGCTAACTCTTGCATTTATTGTGGGAATCCCGGCCATTACCATGCCAGTTTTCCCTTTTGAAGAAATGAGAAAGCCCCACCAACAAGCAGAGTGATATTGGTGGGCATGTCCACTCTCTCTCCTGCCTGTCGACTCATATTACCCACACTTATTCAGATCCACCAAAGTCATCTCCCTGTCTAGCATTGGTGGATTCAGGCACTGAACAGAATTTAATTAGTCTGAATCTAGTCCAAAAATTATCTCTACCCACTATAGAGATTCCCTCTGTTTCAATAGCTGGGGTTACAGGCGAGACCTTAGCCCAGATTACCCTTAAAACTACTGGGTTACACTTAGTCATTTCAAGAAATCATCATGAAATTAATGATTTACTTGTATTCGAATCCCCTGACCCTCAACTAATTTTGGGTTATCCTAGGTTAAAGGAACACAATCCTTACATCAACTTGGAATTGGGGAGGCTTGAGAAGTGGAGCGATAATTGTTTAAAACATTGTTTACGTTCTGCTGTCTCCAAACAACCTGTAAAGAATAAACCGTTGGAAGAGACTGATATTTCTACCATTCCCACTGTCTATCATGATGTGTGTTCAATAAACAATGTGCCCTGTCTTTACCATCCCACCACCATTACGACTGCGCCATCTATCTCCTCCTGGGAGCTGCACTACTGGCCAGTCAATTATATAACCTGTCTGGTCCAGATAGAGACTCTATGAAGAAGTACATTGAGGAGTCTCTCGATTCTGGCATTATCCACCCATCTACCTCTCCAGTAGGGGCTGGATTATTCTTTGTGTGCAAGAAAGATGGAAACCTTCGTCCCTACATAGACTACAGAGGCTTAAACAATATCACCATTAAAAATAAGTACCCCTTGCCTCTTATTGACTCAATTCACGAACAGCTCCAATCCGCTACCATTTTTTCCAAGCTCGATCTCCGTAATGCATACCATTTGGTGCGTATAAAAGAGGGTGATGAATGGAAGACCGTCTTTAGGACCCTGCTCGGACATTTTGAGTACTTAAGTTATGCAATTTGGGTTGACAAATGCCCCAGCGGTATTCCAAGCTCTAGTGAATGATGTGCTCAAGGATTTTATTGGCGACTTTGTCTTCGTCTACCTAGACGACATCCTTATCTATTCATATGATGAGAAGGAACATGTAAAACACGTCCGCACTGTACTCCAAAGACTTTATGAAAACCAGATTTTCGTCAAGGGGGAGGAATGTGAATTTCATGTGTCCTCTGTATCTTTTCTGGGATTTATTTTCGAGGGGGGTTGTTACAGGACTGACCTCGAAAAGACCAAGGCAGTGGAGGAATGGCCAGTTCCTGAGAATTGGAAACAACTCTAACGCTTCCTTGGTTTTGCCAACTTTTACAGACAATTTATTAAGGATTACAGTCGCATCGCCTCACCTCTCTCACAACTCACTTCAACAAACCAGACCTTCAAATGGACTCCCAAGGCTGACATAGCGTTCAGTAAGCTCAAGAAATTTTTTCCTCTACCCCAGTCTTGTGTCACCCCGACCCTAAACATCAGTTCATTCTGGAGGTAGATGCCTCGGACTCTGGTGTGGGTGCCGTCCTCTCCCAACGGTCACCCGACGACAATAAGGTTCACCCGTGTGCCTTCTTTTCTCTGTGCTTATCACAAGCCGAGAGAAATTACAATGTAGGAAATCGAGAATTATTAGCAGTCAAGTTGGCTCTGGAAAAGTGGAGCCATTGGTTGGAGGGCACGGCTATTCCTTTCCTAATTTGGACTGACCGCAAAAGCCTTACGTACCTAAGAGACGCCAAACGATTAACCCCCAGGCAGGCACGTTGGTCTCTCTTCTTTAATAGATTCAATTATATTCTGACCTTCAGACCCAGCTCCAGAAATGTCAAGCCTGATGCTCTCTCCCAGCAGTTTTTCTCCCAGATGGTCCAGAGACCAGGGAGAGCATCATCCCCCCCAGTCTGTGTTGTAGGTGCCCTCACCTGGTCCATTGAAAAGGAGGTCCTCGAGGCACAGAGGGATGAACCCAACCCCGGCACTGGTCCCACTGGGAGACTCTTCGTTTCCTCTGCCATGAGGGCCAAGGTACTAACTTGGTTACACACTCATAAGCTTTCCTGTCACCCTGGCATTTCTCACATGCTCGCTCTCGTCAAGTCCCACTTCTGGTGGCCTACTCTTAACCAGGATGTTAAAGACTTTGTATCAGCCTGTCCAACTTGTGCCAGGAATAAGATGAGCAACCAACCACCCGGTGGACTCTTGCAACCTCTGTCCACACCCAGCCGCCCATGGTCACACATATCCGTGGACTTCGTTACAGGTCTGCCCCCATCTGAAGGTAATTCCACTATCCTCACAGTCATTGACCATTTTTCTAAGGCAGCCCACTTCATTCCCCTGCCTAAACTCCCTTATGCCTTTGAGATGGCCCAGACACTCATCCAGCATGTTGTCTGCATCCATGGTATACCCTCCGACATAGTCTCTGACGGGGGGCCACAATTTATCTCGCAGATCTGGCAAAGTTTCTGCAAGACATTGGGGGCAACCTACAGCCTTACGTCCGGCTATCATCCACAATCCAATGGCCAGGCCAAGCAGTGCAACCAGGAACTCAAGACCACTCTCCGGTGCATTGTCGAACGCAACCCCTCGGCCTAGAGCCAACATTTGGTCTAGGCGGAATACACCCACAACACCCACAGGTCTGCGGCAACAGGTATGTCCCCATTTGAGGCCTCTCTTAGATACATTCCCCCTCTGTTCCCCAGTCAGGAAGCTGACATCTCGGTCTCGTCCGTCCAGCACCATTTTCGCCATTGCCGATGCGTCTGGCGTCAAACGAAGGTATCCTTGATGCGTACGGCAGCCCAAAATAAGAGGTTCGCCGACCGCCATCGCTCCTCAGCCCTGTCATACCAGGTGGGTCAAAAATTGTGGCTTTTTACTAGGGACATTAACATCAAGGACACCCCAAGGAAGCTGGCACCCCACTACATCGGCCCATTCTCCATCAGTAAAATCGTCAACCGGTCTGCAGTTCGCCTTCAGCTACCCATTTCCATGAAGATACACCCTACATTCCATGTGTCGTAAGTCAAGCCAGTCTCTGAGAGCCCTCTATGCCCGCCTACCGACCTCCCTCCTCCCACCCGGTTGATCGATAACCACCCGGCCTTCATTGTTAGGACCATCCTGGACGTTTGTCGCCGAGGCCGTGGTTACCAGTATCTGGTTGACTGGGTGGGCAACGGCCCTGCAGAAAGGTCATGGATTCCCCGCTTGTTCATCCTTGAGGAATTCTTCTACTTAAGGCTGCAGCCAAGTGTGACCCGACGCTGGAGCATTGAGCCTTATTTGGTATTTATGCCTTCAGCCTGAAAACTGTAAGTGAGTGTTTAGACCTACCTTGTTCTTTATGCTTGCAGTATCCTGTCTGCTCGAATCTTGTTCCTGTTGCCTTGCCTGTTGTCCGCCTGCCAGACCTGCCTTGCCCGTTTCCTATCTGCCAGACCTGTCGAGTCTCTGTCCATCCACCGCCTGCCAGACCTGCCTTGTCCAACCATCCTGTTCCTTCTCTCTGGAGCTCTTCATGGATTCCTCTCTACACTGACACACGGCGTCTCCACCTGTAAGACAAGCAAACAAATTACCTTTGACAAACCATTGCCCTAAACTGGACCTACTGACCCTGTTCTCCTCCTTAGGCACTCCAGAGAACCAGCATGTAATATTTCCACTGTATATAATAAACACTGTTACCTTTTCT